GCGCAGAGCCTGCAACCCCCCGGGTCATGAGGAACGAGTACTCTGTTAGTACTAACACACACTCTGTTAGTACTAATACACACTCTGTTAGTACACACAGCGCAGCGCCTGGACCCCCCGGGTCCTGAGGGAGGAGTGCTCTGTTAGTATTACACTCTGTTAGTACTTATACACACTCTGTTAGTACTAATACACAAATTACACCTACTGGTCCGGATGCTATTGTGGATGGGGGGACTGTACGTGGCCCCTCCGGCCCCCCCGGCCCCCCCGCTGACGGTGCTCAGGCTGAAGGTGTAGCGTCGCCCTGGAAACAGGCCCTGCAGGATGCGGCTCCTGGAGGCGGGGCTTCTATACGGGTCTGTGACGGACAGCCGGTCCCGAGGCAGCCACTGCAGCTCGAAGCTGTCGTAGTCGCAGTCAGGGGGGGCGTTCCAGGTGACCTCCAGAGAGGTGTTGGTGACCCCCCCGAACAGGAAGGAGGTGGGGGGGCTGGGAGCTGTGGGGACAAACGCACAATTAAAACATGTCTTACCATTTTTATTTTTTTATTTTGCACTTTAATGCTACAATATGATGTTAGATATCAATTCAGATCCCAAAATATATATATATATATTTATATATATACGTCAAATACGTGTGTAATGTAGATCAGCCAACATTTAGACCAATCACTATCCAGATATGTGTGTTCCCCCCTGCAGATCTGCTCTGCAGCGCCCCTTGCTGGCCAGAAACTCATAGAAATCTCCGGTGATAAAAACAGTTTCTGATGAGGTTCTGAGTCACAGGACTTCAGGTTTTACTAGATTTCATGTCTTAGTCCATCAGGACTTTACACAGCGTCATGTTTGCTCTGACTGAACCAACAGGGCTTTTATTGTGAAGGGTCAGAAGCAGGAAGTCATACAGTTTGGTTTGGACTACGGAGCGGTTTAATATTAAAGTCTATCGGATCACCCAATGACCTCGTCCCACAGAGAGCATTTCTGTGGTGTTGTGTTGGTGTTTGGGTGGTGTTTGGGTGGTGTTGTGTTGGTGTTGTGGTGGTGTCTGGGTTGTGTCTGGGTGGTGTTTGGGTTGTGTCTGGGTGGTGTCTGGCTGGTGTCTGGGTAGTGTTCCTCACCCGTCCTCCCCTGGCTGAAGGCTGTGTTGCTCCACCCTCCGCTCAGGCTCAGCAGCTCCACCCGATACAGGCGACCCGGCCTGAGGCCCGAGAAGAGGAACTCTGTGGCATTTGGGCTCAGAGGCTCCGCCCACCGGGCTCCGTGGGAGCCAATCAGAGACGCTAGGTAGCCGCTCACATCTCCAGCCCCTCGAGCCCAGCTCAGCCTCAGGGACTGGTTCCCCGTTTGGACCAGCAGAGAAACCACGGCTGCTGGGACTGAACACATGGGGGCACAACTCTCTCAATAAACAACATCAACAACAACAACAACAACAACAACAACAACAAACTAATACAGTTCTAATATTACGGCTGCTTAGACTGAACACATCGGTGCACACTGAGAACACCCCCGTGGCCTGTACTCTGAAGCCAGTCCAACAGACCCCTCACATACAACATATAAGAACATGACATTTATAAACATAGCAAAAATAAATACATGATATGCAAAAAGAGCAAGAGCAGCACACACAAGTATTTACAACCCAGTCTCACATCTAAACGTGTAATAACTACGTTGGTCCACAACTTGGGACGTAGTATTTCTACAAAAACTCCTCTGAAATTGTAGGATCCCTACGTTTTTTTTCACCATTCATTTTCAATGGCTGGCGTCTATGTCACGTGATCTTCAAATTTCTCTCCGCAGACAAAAAAAAAACATGGCCGACCTTCGTTTTATTCTCTGTGGAAAATGCCTATTTTAAGGTTAGTTTGGCCATTAAAATGCGTTTTGATGTAATTTGATGCAAGAAATATGTACATACACACATATTGATAGATGTCTTGTAATGCACTGTTGAAGAACCTGCAACCCAAGTTTTTCATTCATTGCATAACTACCTAGTTGTGTATATGATATGTCAATAAATCTTAGAAAATCTTGAAATCTTGAAAGGGATGTGCAAAATAGTCATTATATACAGTCTTTAATTAACTATTAGTAGAGAATAACGAGTAATGAATATACTTTATAGGGATCCTATTAATATCTAATAATAAATATAATGAAATTCAATAACATGCTTTAACCACTAGGTGTCCCTTTCTATCAGCTGTGCACCTTTATGGTGTAAATACAGCCTATCTACCAATTGGATCAAATATAAAAGTCAGCCGAATTAGTGTTGATCCTGCAAGGAGACGTATTGTGTGAAAAGAAATGTAAGATGTTGTTTAATTGCTGATATATTTATGATCCACGTCACGTTTTCGGTGTTGGCGGCAGTTCCTCATGTTTGTCTAGTAGTCTTCTCATCAGGGCTCTATAAATAGAGAACTACGGCAGATATGTAATATTTAATGCAGTCAAACCGTGTATTACAATGCTCGTTATGTGATGATTTTCAAAGAGAAAAGCAAGCACACTCGGAATAAAGTATTATTTTATTTTTTTAAAATGTTTTCGGTCTGTTTCCGGTATTTGTTAATGACGATGTGATGTGAGACTGGAATTGGACAGGGGAAAATAACGTATCTTTAGATGCGGATTTTGTTAAACTAATACGTTTGCGCTGTGGACCAACACTATTGACGGGGAAGGGGGTAGCAATAAAGATAACACCATTAAACAGTTACACAACATAACAGAAATAATATCGATAGCAGCGTCCCTAGCAACCACCTTGGTAACAATGAAAACGTTCTATGGACGCAATTTCCTGAAGTAATCTTCGTAATAACTATCAAACTAAAGATCATCTACATCCACTGACATAGACGCCAGCCATTGGAAATGAATGGTGGCAAAACACGTAGGGATCTTACAATTTCAGAGGCGTTTTTGTAGAAATACTACGTCCCAAGTTGTGGACCAACGTAGTTATTACACGTTTTTTTTGTGAGACTGGGTTGGTAATACAGGAGACCGTGATGAACGTACTGAACCAAGTATAAATAATACAGGTGAAG